CGCCTGATCAACCGCAGAAAGGAAAAAAAGAAGAACCGAAGGAAAAAAAACGAGATGAACGGAGGAAGAAGAGATAGAGGAGAGAGAAAGAGGAAAATTTAGTTAAATAACCAAATTTTTTTGGGACCCATGAAAGTTTATTAGTTTGTATATAGGTCCACAAGATAAAAAAATGAAAATATTCTTGTAGACCCCTATTGCCTTGTAGATTTCTATCAGATCCAAAAGATCCAAGCTCAGTTAGGAATTAAGCTCGAATAATTAATTGGAATCCTCTGAGTTGCGCCATATATTAATAATAAGTTTGAAATTATTAGAATAATATCATAGAAAATTATAGTAAATTGCTAAAATTAGCAAGAACGCCTACGTGTACCTTATTTATAAAAAATTATTACTTGAGTACACTAGAATATGATTGATTTTAAACTTTGCAATGATTATCCTATAATATGTATTTGTCCTGAATTAATATTAGTCTTATATATTTATATTACAGGTTCAGGTTGATATCAGGGAAAAATAGTATTTTGAGGAAGTTGTACTCATTGGAGATGAGTTCATTTCTCACTAGTATTTTTTTTATAATATGAAATTTGCATGAGTGCTATATTTGAATTGATTTTGTACTCGGAAAATAAATAATCTATTATTTTTCTAGTATATAAAGTTAAATGTGATTCGAACTATTTTATTATGGCATAACCTATAATATGATTTGATTTCATACAAGATATTAAAAATAAATTAGATTTCACATAAAATGTGATAAGCGGTTTTGGTTTCATGTGAACTCAATTAGTTGTGAATAATGCTTATTTGAAAGCTTTTGAAGAAAATAATAATAATAATTTGAAGGTGTCGCAACAGTTTGTGAATTCAAGATTTTCTGTGACTTAGTATTTGATAAAAATAGAGAAAAATTAAATATGTAAACTGTTTTAACTATGGAGTGATGTGTTTGTGTCTGCCATATGGTTATAATGCACCTTTATGTGGCCCATTACAAGCATTTGTAATATGGCCTTCTGGCATTTGTGATGTGGCCCTTTTGGGACGTTCGTGATGTGGTCAGTGGTCGGCAGCTTATTATAGAGTTAGGTGCATTTTTTTCCCGTGAACTATGTGTTATTTGATGTCTTTTGATATTCTCATGCTATTGGGCTATAATTCGTAGCCTTAGTGAGACCTATGAGGTGATTCTTACATTTCATGAATGTTCTCATCGAGATTTGTGATTTTAAGACTTGAGTGTGAATCCGAGGTAATAATGATATTTTGGCTTTACACAAATTTAATAGTTCATCTTCTTTCTTAGTAATTACTTATTTTCAAAGAGTTTGTTTTTGAAATACATTACCATGATTCTGGAAATACGTTATGATATATTGAACTTGCTCTTTCTTTTTTGAATATAGCAATAATATGTTACTCTTGGACCATATTTTGCTATTTTTCTGAGATATCTTGTGTCAAGCTTATAATTCACTATTTCTTGGAATTATCATAATTTTGCTAGATATCTAGGATCTCTAGTGGAAAATGTTCTCACTGAGCTTTAGCTCACTCCATTGTTTTTTAAATCTTTTCCTGATCCGAGATAGAAATGTGATAATCCAAATTCTTAGTTGTGGGCATGGTTAAAAAGTGCTTATTTGGAAACTCGACTCCAGTGGTGTTATGTTCAGCAAAAAGAGTGTTTTGCGTTGTAAATAATTATAACGGTAAGGTTGTGAAATATAAATAACAATTATAAGAATATATGTATAGTTTGTTTTGAGCTACTATCTTCAGCAGGCTTATGTATATGTTTTGAGTTAAGCTATGTTATATAAAATATCAGACTTCACTCGTGCACGGGACTCGTCTTGTGCATGGGTCGCTGTTGTATCGGAACCCGTATTTATGAATTTCCGTTATAGTTTTCGGGACGTGACAGTTACTATTTTCCATCTGTTACTAATGGTTTCCACCTTTTCAATTGTTTTCTTCTTCCCAGCAACATTAGCATAGATCCTGATGCTTCTCTAGTAAAGTACTTTAGTTCTATAAAAATTTATCCATGACTGGATATTTAGATGGAAAGACATGAGAAACTTATAGGGCTTGTATGGATTCACCTTCAAAATCATTTGAAGTATGTTAATGGGCTAATGGAGCAACACAAAATAAGTAGTGGTTACGGGGATCAAAGACTGGTTGAGATTCAAATAGAGTAAATTTTATCATTTTGTTAAGTTGTTATTATTTTAATTGTGTTAAGATCATAGATGTCGAGAGCGTGGGTCACTACATCAAACCACCAATACTTGTGTAAAGATCGACGCACAAGTTACACACAGCAATAGTCCGTAACCATCCTTAATTTGGTGAAGAGCAAATCCACATTAGTGGCAAGATATACGCACAATGAAAAGCCTTGATAGGTGATATATCACCTAAATACATCTCAATCCTCTTGATTTCTTTGTTCACAATCTTCCCCTAAGAGCAAGGAAAAAAAGATCAGATTCTCAGTAAGCAAAAGAAAATTCCAAATACAATGACCAGCTGGTTGAAGTAGTTTCTTCAATAGGTTGTATGTTTAACAGTCAAGACTTGGAAAGTCATGTAGTGACCTAAAGACCTCATTCCTCTTCCCACTACCCACTTACAGCTAGATACAGGTTCAAAACTCTTATTGTATTGAATGTCTACGGATTTATGGATTTACACTATTGAACTAGAAATTTTATGAATGTCTCTGCCACAGATCCTGGTTTGCTGATAAGACTCATATCTCAAATATTACCGAAGATGGCCACTAGACATCAATGAATATGCATCACATCCTGTTCACACATAATGACAGGTATCGCCGAGCCATTCTCTTTTATGAAAGATTCAAAACAGTATCCGAGTGTTTGTGTAACGTTCCTTCAAAATAAAAGCTACATTCTTGCAGATTATTCTTTTTTTTTCCTTTTCGTCTATCACTTTTTAATATTTCATCGTCTCCCCCTCTCTGAAAAGCTCCCACTTTGTTCATATCCCTTCTTCTTACTTACGCTCATAATTATATTCTCTTTCAGCACACAAAATCCTCTAAAATTGATAGTTTTAGGCATCCACTTTTCAAAACATACAACAGCTTATAGTTTCACATTAATGTATCAAATCTAGATATAAGACTATGTTCTATATGTAATCCAATAATCTGAACTCTCAATGCTATTCTTCACTAAATTCCTAGAACATAGGCAACAGACATTTATTTAAACCAGAAAAGGCAAAACTGATCTAGCAACCCTGAGATATAAAAACTGGAGGGTGGCCCAGTGCACGAGGCTCCCACCATTGTGGGCTCAGATGTATGCAGCCTTACCCCACTTTGCAAAGAGCCTGTTTCCGAGATTTGAACCCGCAAAGGTGACAAGGCAGCAACATTACCGTTGTGCCAAGAACAATTTAAGTAGGATAATAAGATTCGTCAATCCAAGCCTTAACAGAAACTAGCATTTTACTCAAAATAAGATAACTAAACTAGCTTAAAATTTGACCAGACTTTCTAACCTTTTCTCATAAAGAATAGCCGAAACAAGGCTGGCAAAGGTCTCAGGCTTCATATCCCGCTCCTCCCTCAGCTGATACAGCTTGTGCCGAAACACCAGCCGCTGGTATCTTCAACCCCATCAACACAAATCAAAAAGGTCTTTTTTTTATACATGCACGCCCCCAGAATCAATAATATTTGCAAATACAAACCCTAGGATTGAAAACTAGGGTTTCTCTAGATTTTCTTACAGGGTCTGGACGTCGGTGGCGCGCTGGTATCTTCAACCCCATCAACACAAATCAAAAAGGTCTTTTTTTTATACATGCACGCCCCCAGAATCAATAATATTTGCAAATACAAACCCTAGGATTGAAAACTAGGGTTTCTCTAGATTTTCTTACAGGGTCTGGACGTCGGTGGCGAGGCCGGAGAGGCCGATGAAGAGCTTATCGTGGATCCCGAAGATGCGCTTGAAATCGACGGCGATCGTCTGGAGGTTGACTCCGAGGCGCCGGTCGCTGGCGATGGCGAAGCAGTTCTTGCCCACCATCGCGACTACGGCGCTGCCGTTGTACTCGAAGATCTGCAACAAGATTGAGACGATAAAAGTGAGTAAAGGAGGTGGGGGGTAAAATTAGGGTTAGGGTTAGGGTTAGGGTTCGAAGGGAGTGCTCACCGACATGGAGACTTGAGCAGAGAACGAGGTCGGAGGTAACGATGGAGGAGAGTGAGAAAGAGAAGAGGAGCGGTGTTCCCGTTGAATTTGGCTTCGGGAAGAAGAAAGGGTTTTGGGCTACAGAGTCGGGTTCAACCCCATTTTTAATATCCAAACCCGATTCGTTTTAAATTTCTTAAAAAAAACCCAACTCTATATATATTTGGAAAAATTGCTTCAAGGCCCCAAAACTAAATTGTTGATGTGTTCCAGCCCCTTGAACTTTTTCTAATGTGCTTTTTCCCCAAAAATGAAAAATCCATGTGAATCAGCCTCATTTACAATTTCCAAGATAAAAAATTCCCAGACTACCCTCTTCTTCTTCTCCAGATCTTCTCTAGATCTAATTCTACTCCTCTTCCTACAAACCCATCTCCTCTTCCACCCTCTCTCTAACCTCACTCGAAACCTCCAACACCACCGCTACCTCCGTCACCCCTGTCTCTACCTCGCTAGGGGGTTCTGCAAGAACGGCAACAGGTGCAGGTTCCTCCACGACCTCAACGAGGACAAGCTCGACGCCGCCATGGCCTCGCCGCCGCCACCGCCGCCACCACTGCCAGGTTTCCGTACCCCCTCGGGCAGCTTGCCGATGTCCCCGTTGTCTCCCATGAACCAGAGGTAGGTGAACGACGGCTGGCCGAGTTCTTTTCTTAGGCTTTCGACGGTGGGTTCCGTGGATTTTGATGAGTCGTTTTGATTTCAGGGCGGCTGCGACGACGGAGCTGATGCTCGCCGGAGATGAGAGCAGGTTCATGGGCCAATCGAGGATCGACCGGAGTTTGATGTTGTTATTGTCATGTAAGCTTCAGTTGAACTGGGAAGGAGTTTGATGTTGTTCTCTGTGCAGTTTGATTGTTATTGATATTGCAAATTGTATGGTGGGATTTTGGGAATGCATTGTGGTCATTGTTGGTTTGATAACACTTTTCCTGCTGATAACACTTTCAGAGAAGAGGATGTCTCCAATTATTTTAGGTTACGGGAAATTTTCTTTTTAAACTTTTTGATGGTTTGACAATTGTTGTTTGGGGTTAAAACTGATTTGGGTTCGTGTTATATTCTATAGTATTTATGGGTCAGTTCAAGATGTGAGGATCCCCTAATCTCAACATGTTGGGGCTTGGATGTATATCAAAATCAAGAAAGAAGTAATAAACTCAGAGTGTGGTATATATAAATGTTGTACAAATTTGTGATGGTGATTTCTTGTATCTGCTGTTGTTTGTTGTCATGTAAGCTCCAGTTGAACTGAGAAGGAGTTTGATGTTGTTCTCTGTGCAGTTAACTGTTGTGGTTAGCATGTTAACTCTTGTGTTTAACATGTTAACTCTTGTGGATAACATGTTAACTCTTATGGATAACATGTTAACTCTTGTGGCTATATGTTAACTCTTGTGGATAACATGTTAACTTTTATGGATAACATGTCAACTCTTGTGGATAACATGTTAACTCTTGTGGCTATATATTAACTCTTGTTATAGTTAACATGTTAACTCTTGTGGATAACATGTTAACTCTTGTGGCTATATATTAACTCTTGTTATAGTTAACATGTTAACTCTTGTGGATAACATGTTAACTCTTGTGGCTAACATGTAAAATATTATGAATAACATGTTAATATATAATGGATCAATTTACCAATTAAAGTTAATTGTGATTTCAGTTAACTTTAATTGGTAAATTGATAATTATATTCAGTAAACTTTTAACTATAATCCATTATCCGTTAATTGTTATTTGTAATCTATTATCCGTTAACTGTTATTTCGGGTCATATACACGTTAATATAGTTCTCATTTAACATGTTAACTATAATACCTAGCATGTTAACCTTAATTGATAAATTAATAAATATAACTGTTAACTATAATCAATTATATGTTAACTGTTATTTATAATTTGTTAACTATTAATAATTATTTGTTAACTGTTATTTATAAACTGTTAACTATAATGAATTATCTGTTAACTGTTATTCATAAACTGTCTGTTAACTATAATTCATGTTTGTCACAAGAATTAACATGTTATCCACAATAGTTAACATGTTTGCCACAAGAGTTAACATATAGCCACAAGAGTTAACATGTTATCCATAACAGTTAACATGTTATCCACAAGAGTTAACAACATGTTAAACACAAGAGTTAACATGCTAACCACAACAGTTAACTGCACAGAGAACAACATCAAACTCCTTCTCAGTTCAACTAGAGCTTACATGACAACAAACAACAGCAGACACAAGAAATCACCATCACAAATTTGTACAATATTTATATATACCACACCCTGAGTTTATTACTTCTTTCTTGATTTTGATATACATCCAAGCCCCAACATGTTGAGATTAGGGGATCCTCACATCTTGAACTGGCCCATAAATACTATAGAAAATAACAAGAACCCAAATCAGTTTTAACCCCAAACAACAATTGTCAAACCATCAAAAAGTTCAAAAAGAAAATTTCCCGTAACCTAAAATAATTGGAGACATCCTCTTCTCTGAAAGTGTTATCATCAGGAAAAGTGTTATCAAACCAACAATGACCACAATGCATTCCCAAAATCCCACCATACAATTTGCAATATCAATAACAATCAAACCGCACAGAGAACAACATCAAACTCCTTCCCAGTTCAACTGAAGCTTACATGACAATAACAACATCAAACTCCGGTCGATCCTCGATTGGCCCATGAACCTGCTCTCATCTCCGGCGAGCATCAGCTCCGTCGTCGCAGCCGCCCTGAAATCAAAACGAGTCATCAAAATCCACGGAACCCACCGTCGAAAGCCTAAGAAAAGAACTCGGTCAGCCGTCGTTCACCTACCTCTGGTTCATGGGCGACAACGGGGACATCAGCAAGCTGCCCGAGGGGGTACGGAAACCTGACGGCGTCGACGGCGGCGAGGCCATGGCGGCGGTGAGCTTGTCCTCGTTGAGGTCGTGGAGGAACCTGCACCTGTTGCCGTTCTTGCAGAACCCCCTAGCGAGGTAGAGACAGGGGTGACGGAGGTAGCGGCGGTGTTGGAGGTTTCGAGTGAGGTTAGAGAGAGGGTGGAAGAGGAGATGGGTTTGTAGGAAGAAGAGTAGATCTAGAGAAGATCTGAAGAAGAAGAAGAGGGTAGTCTGGGAATTTTTTATCTTGGAAATTGTAAATGGGGCTGATTCACATGGATTTTTCATTTTTGGGGAAAAAGCACATTAGAAAAAGTTCAAGGGGCTGGGACACATCAACAATTTAGTTTTGGGGCCTTGAAGCAATTTTTCCTATATATTTGATAATTTATCGTTCAATTCTAAAACATTGAGCTAAAATACCTTATGTTAAGGATTATTTGCTGGATTTTTTCTAATTTTAATGTTAGTGTTTTGAGAGTTTGTTTTTAATATCCAAACCCGATTCATCTCAACTCGTGTTTTTTTAAGGATTTTTTACATCAAAACCACATTTACTTTTACCCAAATTGATACTTATCATCTTTACATTTTTTTAATGTAAACCACCTTTATCTGCTAACATGTTTGCAATGTCACACCTAATTTAATTTGCAGCCCAAAAAATTCGCAAAATGACTATTTTACCCTCATAAACTTTTTTGTTTTTCCATATTCTCCCTCACAAACCCTAACCCTAACCCTACACTCCTCATCCTCCTCTTCTCCCCATCTTCCCTCTCCCACCTCCCCGAACTCCCCTCCCCCCTCTCTCTCTTGTCCTCCCTCTTCCTTCCGATCTCTCACTCTCCCATTCTTTCCCAAATAGGAACCAAGATTAGGGTTAGGGTTTGAGGGAGGTGGTGGTCATGTATTAGAGTTAGTATTTGGGAGGAGGTGATGGCTATGGGTTAGGATTTTGAGGGAGGTGGTGATCATGGTTTAGGGTTAGGGTTTGTAGAAGAGGAGAATGGAGGAGGCAAGGGTTACGTTAGGGTTTGTAAAGAAGAAGATAGGGATAAAATAGGAATATCAGATTTTTTTTGTGGGTGAACAGTAAAAAAGTGTGACATTGCAAACATGTTAACAAGTAAAGGTGGCTTACATCAAAAAAATATAAATGTGGTAAGTGTCAATTTGGGTAAAAGTAAAGATGGTTTTGATGTAAAAACCCTTTTTTTTATTTTAAATTACCTAAATACTCCCCACATCTAGATATTTTCTAATTCACCTTTCAATTCTACTGCATTGAGTTAAAATACCTTTTACTTTTCAAGGAATATTTGCTAGATATTTCTTAGTTTTATTTTAGCTGTTTGGTTGGAACTCTCTTTTATCCTGCTGTTCGAAAACTAATGACGTTAAGTAGTTCAGGAGTGGATTTTTTTTATTTCAACATGGTAGAACCAGGGATAAATTAGCAAAAATCTAGAGTCGAAGGTAATTTTGCAAATATTGTTGATTTGAGAGGTATATAAGCATGGCTCAAAATGGTTGCGCATAATTTTCGCAAGTTCAGGTGATTTTCTCTGATTTGTAAGGTTTAGCGGAATTTGTGAAATTTACTCTTTATAAATTATACAATCTACTAAGAAAATATAATCCAAAATTTTCCACTTTCATACCAGAAAAGGAGAGACCTTTCACCTATGGACATTGTTATCAGACATAAAAGTTATATGAGAATCATAAGCAGATAAGAGTAGAACAATGTTCAATTCAAGTTGCATCACACGACAATCAATTGCAGACAAACATGGTACAAAAGTACAACACATAACAAACCAATTGCAGACAAACATGCTACATATCAAAAACTGATAACTTGATGTCCCTCCTATACTAGATCTCTCTTAAACAACAAAGACCTTAAATTTTTGGGATTTTTTTTACATTAGTCCCTTAAATCTTTCAAAGTTTGAAATTAGTACCCCGGAAATCATTCAAATTTCAACCCTAATTCTTTAAGTTATTGTGAAAGTAATCCCTCCGATCAAAGCATAGAAGTAGCGGTTAGAGGGACTGATCTGAAAACAACTTACGAGAATTTGGGGACCTAATAGCAATTTCAATGATTTTAGAGACTAATTTCTAGATGTGAAAGATCTAAGGGACTATATGGGGAAAAACCCATAAAGGTATAACATTCTACCTCACACCCATTTTACCTCCTCCGAGCATTCTTCCAAGAAGTTAGTTCAACAGGAATCTCATCTTCATCAGACAAAATCACAGCTTTAGCCATCAACTTCCCAATCAAACCATGATAAAGAAGCCCTCTCGAACCGAGCCCACCAACAAACCAAAACCTACACCGCCCCCTCTCGCCAACAAAATCATCGATACAACCAAGAAGCGGCAGCGACCCAAGAGGAGTCAGAGGTGGCATGGCTCTGACGCCTGCCCTAGCTCCGACAAGCTCCCACTTTTTTATGGTTGGATAAACTGTAGAGGCTTTTGGAAGAAGATCTTGATAAGCCCTCGATGATTCTTCTGGAGTGACATCTGATGAGTAGTTCTTGGAGTTCCAATCCCATGTTGATCCCATCAGAACGCTCCGAGAAGATTGGAATGCCAGCCATGCGTCGGAGAGTATCGAGGGGCTGTGGCATCTGTATTCTTCACTACGGGAAAAAATGTCGAAATGATAATAGAGTTGATTGTAAATAGACCTCAATACTATGGATGTAGCTACTAATACCTCCTAATCTATTTTATTAGCACTTAAACCTTCTAAACTATTTTGCTAGCACTTACAACACCTACACTCCAAACACCATTATTTCTCAAGTTAGATTGAGATGTCATGTGGTGATAAGTTATCCATTGCCCTCAGTTTGACTAGAAAGAGGAATAAAACTTGCTCTAAAGTCTAATCTAATAACACAAATAAAAAAAAGACGCCACCTAAGATTTAGGGAGTATAAGTGGCTACATCACCGTAGTACATGGGGTGTATCTGCTGTTAATCCAACTTATACGCCAGTTAGGTTGTTAATCCACATCGTTATATTCGGACGAAACTGCTGGACATGTATGTAACAGAGTATGTGTCCTGGATGCATGATGGAAAAAAACCTACGAACCACTGTTTTGGTGTTATCTTTCAGTTTCTCTCAACGTTGTCGGTCAAGAAAAATACATATTTTTATTTAAAACTTTATAAACTCTAATGGGGACAAATTGCAACCAAATTTGACCAACTGTAATCAATTACTCAACATGAACTGAAAGAGACAGAACGGTTTCTGCTAGATTGGCAGTACCTAATATTGATCGTTGGCAGTTGGAGTTGTGAGATAACACCTCTGCATAATCTCAGAGGAAGCTTTCCTGAAAGCTCTCGAAGTACAGTGGATTTAGCCCCAAGACATACAATCACTGCATCATATTCACCTGCAAAGCTCTCAAAAAGCAAATAAAAGTTTGACTGAGAATTACAAAGTCAAGTTGAAGACACAAAGCAGTTCCTTGTCTATGGTTGATTGGTTTCTCCATCGCACTTAAAACCTCAAAATTTAAAGAAAAAAAGGGGGCAAATCATGAGTTATTGCAGTTTTCTGTGTTTGTTTTCTTCTAATGGATGCTGATACAGTTACAAATGTTGTTTAAAATCAGATTTGATATGCATACACTTGTTAAAGAAACAAATATAGTAATGGGAAAAAATGATATCGAGCTTTACTTTTAGTGCCTATTTACATAATAAGAAGAAAAATAAAACATCAGATAGCAGGTTGTTTTACATAATATAATACAGAATAGGTTACAACTGAATGCATTAGGATGTCCTGAATATGTCAACATTTGAATATTTTCTAAAAGTAATGGGAAAAAATGATATCGAGCTTTACTTTTAGTGCCTATTTACATAATAAGAAGAAAAATAAAACATCAGATAGCAGGTTGTTTTACATAATATAATACAGAATAGGTTACAACTGAATGCATTAGGATGTCCTGAATATGTCAACATTTGAATATTTTCTAAAATTAT